AAGCGGCTTACATCTGCAGTTGCTGGTACTCTTAACAGTCGCAGGGTTTTATTCTTTCCTTGAGTTATGTGCCTCGTTTTCAGTTACGAATGACCTGGAATTCTTCTCGTTGCTATTTGACGTGTGGGATTGAGTTTAGTCCCCCTGCCATTTATAAGGACCCGCCACTGGATATTTTTGAGAGACCGATATACTTTCATGTCACTACTTTTCTAAATCATGTCAGCCTTAGTTCAATATTCCATTTTATCAAGAAATTTAAGTCAGCTTTCACGTTGTGAATCGTGGCATTGCTAAGCTGGGGTAACAGACAGTATTTGGATTTGGTCTAAAGATAAATTGGGAGTAACCAACGTCCGTGGGAGTTTGCTGTTCAGGGGAAAAAATGCAAGGACCTTCAGGTGGCTTATATTTGGGTACGAGTCAATTGCCCTTAGAATAGGAGCTGTAGCAACAGTACTGAACAACAAAGTGGCAGAAGGGAGGGAGATAGTTGACGCTGAAAATTCAGACATAGTAACCTGCCCCTCCTACTTCTAAATACATATTCACAATCCTATTCGGCGACACTAACACCCTTGGTGACTTCGCCAAAGACCTCCTTGGCATGCGCCAGCTGATCTTGTACGCCCGTCATGCGTGCTATCATTTCGGACCCAAGAGGAAGGATCTTTTCGCTCTCTTTGCCAGCGCCGAATCCCTCTCCGACAACGAGCTGGTAGAACGCCCTCATCGCCTTGTCTTTGTCTCCCTTGGGGACGATATTCCCCTTCTCGAGGAAATCGAGGAACTGGCCCGCAACAGTGCCCTTGTACTCCTCAGGAACGGGGTTCTGGCCAAGGACGTAGGCATTGGGCATGTTAGTGTTGAACGAGCCCAGAATCACCGTCAGGACTCGGATGTTGAAAGGCGCAACCTCCTTTGCGAGAACTTTGGTTAAGCCTTTTTTGACCAGTGACTCAAATCAGCAGCGAGCTTTCCAACTTTAAAAGGGGGGGAAGCTAGAAGAAGTTGTATGAAACATCGAAGGATTATGGCAAGCTAAATGCTCGGTAAATCACGTAAGAAGTCAATGAAATGTCGCTCACCGTCAAGACCTGCTTTAGCACCGGCATAAGCCCCCATGCTCCCCTGCCCTTCCAGCGCCGCCCCGCTACTAAAGTTGGCGATGACACCGAATTTGCGCTTGCGTTGATAGGGAAGCACGGCGCGGATGAGTCGCAGCGGACCGAAGTACATCGTCTCCATCTGGGCGCGAAGCTCATCCTCGGTGATAGTCTCTATCGGCGCGTGGATGGAGTAGCCAGCGTTGTTGACGAGCACGTCGACGCGCTCGCCAGACTTCTCGAGCCCGTTGATGATGTCGCCGCTAGACCGGTCGTTGACGTCAAGCTGTAGCCATCTGCCGCCCTTGGATTCGACCTCTTGGACGAGATCTGGGGTCCGAGACGGGTTTCGCGAGGTCGCTATCACCTTGTGCCCGTTGGCTTGGACGATGCGTACTAGCGATAGACCTAGACCGGACGAGGAGCCGGTTATTAACCAGGTGAGCTTATTGCCGGCTGCAGCCATCTCTACGTCGGTTAGGGAGCGTTATTTCGTCTTTCACGCTTTGACTTTCGCTTGGCTAAGATTGACGCGTAATGTATATCCGGCAAGACGACGAGGATGAGGTAGCCGCCATAGTATTCATCTCCTGGAGAAGGGCATCTCGCTATCTAGTTGGTTTTATAATCTACCGGCCGCTCTGATTCTTCATAAATGAAGATCATCAACCCATCAAGCAGGTAATAATTAGGCTTCCATCCGGTGATTACGGGGTTAGGCTGCATCGTCCGTATTATGCGGCCAGTAGGTCAAATATAATATCTGAGGTTGTGAAGCAGTTATTGCCGGTTTTTAGTTCTGGCCTCCTTTTCTAACAGCATATGTTCACAAAGCACACATGCCGACGCCCTGGTTGGCCAGAGCTGTACCTTCGGTTTTAAGGGGCTAAATCCCGGCATCCACCATGAAATACAAACCAACCCACCATCGCCAACTCAATTGGGCAGAATAGTTATATCACATGTCATATCCAATCGTTTATCGCATCAGATTTCCTCTTTTGCTCTTCAAGCGTAGGTGTCTTGATACGTCTTATCACGTCTATATTTATTCATCTGAATTGGCTCGACACATTACCCTACTGCGAGACCCTGAATATATTCAATCACTTGGAATGAAGCCGGCTGTCTCACTAGATCCCATGCTTGGACAGCACAAAACCCTTTAGCATATAGGAATGAAGGGAAGGATCATTGGGGTCTAATAGACGGTGACCGGTCTATGCGACGTGTTGTTTTCCGATTATCAGCCGGCAAGTCAACCGGTTAGATCAATAGATTCTCCATGTTGCTGATGAAATCTAGTCCTAACCCATCCTCTCGGTCCTTGTTCAAGTTCTCTTTATTCCTCTCCCGAGTAGAAGCCACAGCCTCTCTATCTACTGGCTTGTGGCTTTTGGTGTGTTCGAACACGCTAAGTTTTCGTCCACATTCCAGAGCTCTCTGATCATTTGCCTTCACGAATTCGGTTAATTCATCTGCGCTATTGAAACAGATGAAGTAATAGCCACACCGGCCATCTTTGCCTTCAGGATGACCATGCATGTGTTTTCCACCTTGGCCAATGGCCTTGATGGAGTATTCACTGAAATATTGCTGGAGCCTTAGTGGATTATATATCTCAAGCCCAGGGCACTTTAGATCTTGCATTCGAAGAACAGCCCTATTGCATTCCTAAGGGTTAGTAGCTACTCAGTAAGGGAGTCTGAATATTGAACCGAATTACTGAGGCGTTTTGTGCCCGCCATCAGCAAAGGTTTTATCTCAGGGATCTTTGAAGTAAGGAAATACCAAGGCCGTATGCTCACCTGAAGGGGCATTTCTCAATAAACGCCTCACGTCTATAGAGACTTCCTTTTCGGGCCTGTTTATGGCCATTGCCAGTGTGCCGAGTTTGTGGCCTCTCTTGACGCAATTGTTCCAGGCGTAGTCTGAAGCCAGAGGTAGGTGTATGTGCGAGGCATGCGAAGAGAGCCAAAATGCGGACGGCGTCGTTGCCCGCACAATGCCTGAAGGTTGTAGGCTGGTACCCTTTTCGAAACTCGAATCCCGCCATAGCGACGTCCATTGAGGGCAGATGAATGCGATGATGATTAATCTGGGATCCTGCTAGTTTGTCTACTTCCCATATAATAGGTTGAATGTCAACCCAGGCCGAGATATAATGGACGACAGAAGGCATCTGAAGGAGCAATGATCTGATTTCTGCGCCCATACCGAACCCAACGAAGATGAAGTTCTGAACTTGACAGGTTCCTCTGACGTACTCGAGGAATTCCATCATCTTGGCTTCGGCTGAATCAATATCAATTTGTTGTATCGTGGCTTCTTGGAAGCGCCACTTGAAATGCTCCTGATGCATTCTTGGCTCCCGGTGTCTTCGGGATTGGATAATCAGCCAACGAGGAAAGACTTCGCAGTCCTTGGCGAATTCTATGATGTCGACAGGTCTCTCAGACCCTACAGATGGCAGAAATGCCATGCCAATCTCGGTTATAGATCCGTCTGAGAGGGATTCGACATCGAGTGACACGAAGGCGGTCCCTGTCTGCAAGTGGCTCTTGAGTTCTGCGAAGTTGCCGATCCTTTTTGCCCACAAAGATCTGTATTTCTTTGTAATACCCCACGCGGGGGTTCTTGTGGACAACTTCGGTGAGCCAGCAGGCGCGGCTGTTGGTGTATTCAGCTGCATTGTTGCGACGGTCAACACGGGCGAAATGAAGGATGATATGAAAGTATTACTATAGGGCTGGCATGTCGTAGGGCTGAGAAGGGGAAAAACAATGCTTTATTTACGCGACCTGTTGATCTAAGTTGGGAAGTAAGTTGAGAGGTAGGTAAACTTTCCTGTTAGCGCCAAACTTGAAAGCCGGAAGCTTGGACTGACCTACCTACATGTAGGTAGGTAACTCACCGAGCTCACCTCCACATACCTGGGTACCCTAAGGTACCTAGGTACCTGCCACATAAATAAGAAGTACATACATAGTAGTACCTAGATATAGCGCTAGTGTGCGTCGAACTCTACCTCGCTCATATGCCTCCTCTGGTCACGACACGTACCTACCTACCTAGGTAGGTACTTAGGTAGCTGGGGATGGGTGGGCAGGCAGGTCTACCATCACTGGCCTTTACTAATGGACATTCATCCCACGTTTCCGCCCATATCTGCTCACATCTACCCTTTGGAAGATAACAGCTACGCTTGCACATTCTCCAACAACTACGTACTTGAGTAATCATGGTTTGGTATGCCATCAAGTTTCACGCGTACATAGAGCTAGATATTTTTCACACGCACATTGGGCTGTACGCTATGGTCGAGCTGCGCTAGTCTTCAAACGCAGCACATTGTTAACACCCCCTTGCCCACAGGAGTAATTATCGGGCGTTCTCTTAATTTGATGTACCGAGGATGGCGAGATGCGTTATGCAGACTGACGACAATGTTGCTCTGAGCGGTAATTTGGTGCGATGGGAGAGATCCTCTCTGGCACTATATCCATCATTATCTACCTACACAATGATTCGAATATCCCATCAAGTCCTACGTAATTACCCAACGCTTACCAGTATAATAATTCGTTTACTTTCTTGGCAAGATTCCGACTACCAGCACACATATAGTCATATATCCCCCTTGTACACATCATGTAAAGTACAATGCACAACAGCCCTGGAGGTGGGCAACCATAGATATTTGATACATTGAAGATATCGCTGCACCAATAGCTTACGCAGCTAGTAACAAATACATATCTTATATCATTTTCGTAAATTATGTCAGGTACAACTTGAAGATAGGCATCACTCGCCCGCATGTTGATAAACACCTACTCAACGACCGACAACTATGAAAGACATGTTAAAGAGGACAGGAAGAAAAAAAGACGATGCCAGGTGCAAGATTCGAACTCGCGCGGGTCGCCCCACCAGAAATCCTCAACCTCTCTCGCCCTAGGTCTCTCGGTGGTCTGGCGCCTTAGACCACTCGGCCAACCTAGCAGATAGGAGTTTCCTGCTTCAAGTCGATAGTATGCATGAGAGGTGGGTGTTATATAGGTGAGGAAGTAAGGTGGAAAGAATATGTCGAGAAGGAGCGCCGTATCAAGGAGGAAGGAGGAGGCATAAGGGGGCAGGTACGGACGAAAAGGGGAAGGGGAGGGGGGGGGGGGGGGGGGGGAGCCAATTGCACCAGTTAGACCGTTTTCGTGGAAACCAAATTCCCTAAAAATTAAATTATTATATTTAATTTACAAATAAAAGTTTATTAAAACTCTAAACGTTTTTTAATATGCTGT